TCTATCCCCCCCCCCCCCCTTTTCCTTCGCTATAGGAAATATATTAACTTGCTCTAGGGCATATGGAGAGTGAAGGTTGGCATTGGAATGGGGCCGGTTCCGTTTCATCCGTCGTCTGGCGGTAGTATAGTGGATTGGCTCTTATATCACCTGCTACGAACGAAGGAATGCAAATTTGCATCACATCTTCGCCTGGCGAATGCTCGTCATCTCGCACAGGCAGCGCCTCCTTTTGCAGCTCCACCCGAGCAACAGGATACCTCGAATTGTCGTTGAGTTGTTCAACGAGCTCTCATTTCCGGGTAGTCGACTTCAGCTCTCGGCCTCCTCTGGAGGGACTCAATCTCCCGTAGTGATAGGGGCCGGCGCTCCCACACATCCCTATACACGCGGTGATGCAGCGTTGCCTCGTGTACATCAATGCGGACGACGTTCTCTTTATTGGGGAGTATGGGGAGAGGACACGACTCGAGAGATGGCAATTCTGCAAAGAAGAAAGCCAAAAGTGCGTTTTGCTGATCATCACGAAGTTGGGTAATGCGATTAGTTACTTTTGCGCGACAGGAATGGATAAAGGCATTGGGCATCACGGCGTCGTCCGTAGTATTGGCTTTTGAACATCACGACTCCGCCGAGAATGCGGTCTTCCGTCCAGTAGCCAACCATGTCGGCGGCGCCCTCGGGGTAGATGTCGTGGGCCCCGTAGTGAGGGAGGTTGAAAAGCGCTGGGGGCGGCTTGGGCACCTCCCACACGTTGCCCCACAAATCCGGAGGCATGCTCCAGTTAACCACACTGTCGACGTCGCCGTCGTGAAGCCGCAAGTTCATCTGATATACGATTGCCCCGAGTTGGTGAACTGCTGTCGCAACGAGTTCAATCAGACGCAAATTAAACATCTTAGTGTCTTCTAAGGCTTTTCGATAGGCACGAACAAGCTGCAGGGAGCGTCAGTCAGGAATGAACAAAACATCTCATCATCTACCCAAGATCTGCCTTCTGGTTAAATTTTAGCGCTGTCGGATTAAATGACTCCCACAGCTCTCGGGCCTTCTCCATCCTTCCAGGACAGAGCTCTTCATGTTCATCTAGTGGGTGTATACCACAAAGCTCGTGATTCCTACGCTCCCACGCGACATCGGCAACTGGCAGCCCGGCTATAATCTGCGCACATGTGGAGACCGCTAGCTCTGTGGAAAGTACGTTGTTTAGTGCGCGGACGAAGCTCTGATAATGCTACGGATCGAGACTGTCTAGGCTGACCCGCTGATCATAGTCGACTCGAGCTGACTCCTGTAACTGCTTGACGAGTCGTTCAGTTTGCTCCTCATCAAGACCGATGTGCAACCTGTAGCCGGACATTTCGTGCCGTCAACACCCCATCGACACGCGTGAATGAGCGTAGGAGAAGTGAGGCTTTGAAGAACATTTTAGACATATGACGCGAGTAACAGAAGTTATAGTCTAGCTTGCATTCAAGGAAGACAGGGATATCCCAGTGAATTCTCTATTTCATCTCAATTACACTCTGGAAGATAGATCAATGGCGTCTTGGATATTGGGGCCAGGAGTGCTGGATAAAACTGACCGCGAAGTGCCACTAAGGAGGGGTGATAGCATCGAGCCAATGAGGAGTCAGTGACTTAAGATCAGGGGAGTCTTGATCGCCCCCACTTCTGAGCGTGCTCAGCTAAACTAATCTAGAATTCATCGAATGTTATGCGGGGTACTCATCAACAAACCTGTCACGAGTGTCGATTCATATCCTTTACACCCACTTCACTGTCCCTCGGCGATTCATACGACTTGGCAGTCTTCTCTGCTCCCAGACTATTTCTATTTTTTTTTTTTTTCTTCTTTTCTTCGCGAAACCTCACGCGACCAAACCTACATGGCGCAAAAACCCACTCTAGCGATCATTGGATCGCTGAACGTCGACGTCGTTACCTACGTTACCCGTATTCCCCAAGGCGGCGAGACACTCACGGCGAATGGCTTCAACATTGGTCTTGGTGGAAAAGGCGCCAACCAGGCTGTGGCATGCGCAAAGCTATCGCGGACAAAATCCGACGTGCAAAACGGCACCGCCGTTGTGAAGATGATCGGGGCAGTAGGAGATGATAGCTACGGTCCTCTTGTTATAGACGGACTTAAAGGAGTCGGAATCGATACATCAGACATACAAGTTCGCAAGGGAGAGAAAACTGGCGTCGCGACAATCATCGTGGAGGAATCAACGGCTGAGAATCGTATCATGTTCTCACCTCACGCGAACGGGACCGTGCGCCCGGACGAGTACGCGACGGATTTGCCACGGCCGCTGCCGGACTTGATAATTCTGCAGCTTGAAATCCCTCTAGAGACAGTCACGCAGATTATTGACACTGCCCAGAAGCTGGGTGTCGCGGTTCTATTCAATCCGGCACCGGCACAAAAGATTGACGCAAAGTACTACCCCGGCGTCACTCACCTAGTTGTGAACGAGACCGAAGCGGCAATCTTATCCGGATGCGACGTGAAGGAATTGGAAACGCAGGAGGGTCAAGCCAAGGCGGCGCAGGTGTTCCATGAGTGGGGAGCTAAAAATGTGTTGATCACTCTTGGGAGCCATGGCGTTTATTATTCTGTGTTGGGTGGCGTACGTGGTCATATTGACGCGTTGAAGGTCAAGGCCGTTGATACCACAGCCGCCGGCGATACGTTCGTTGGCGTGTATGCGTTAGAGGTTGTGAAGCCGGATTTTGATATTGAGAAGGCGGTGCGCTTGGCCAACCTGGCAGCTTCGAAGACAGTACAGAAGAAGGGAGCACAGGAATCCATACCTTGGTTAGATGAACTCTAAATAATAAATGCCAACAGAGCGTCATGCACTCGAGATCAGCCCGAAAGAGCCTGGGAGAATATGTGACATTGCGTCGAAGGCCCGGCACGGAGAGTGCCCAAGAGTTGTTTTACGCCCCCACTTTAGAGAATGTCAAACTTTCATCTGCCCGTGGTTGAACCACGGAGAACTGCACCATGGCATTAACAGCGGCAATTTACCTTAAATTTCTAGCTATCTCGAGCCTAGGGGATCTATAACTGCAACATACGAACATGCTTCCGTGCCTGTCGGCAGTGCAGTACGCAAAACGGAGTCTTCTCTGGACCATGTATGCAATGTTTCGGAAAGTCAGGACAGGGCGGTGATGCGTGCCACCTCACTTGCCTCGCCTCCAAGGAATTCACTAGATCCAAGAAAGAATTCCGATCGCCACCAGCAGTTCCCGCAATCTCGGCCTTCACAATCTTCTTCGCAAGTACTTTCCATTCTTCGGGGCTAACATCAAGCGCGAATGTCGATGGGGCTTCACGAGGACGTCTAGAGTCCGTATTTCCCGAAAGGGCTGCCCCGAGAGTCCAGGTTTTCGTCTCTCCCTTAACCCTGGAAAGGTCCGCCTCGGCATCTATAGCGTCCACAATACTTCGGTACATCTGCGCCATTGATACGAGTACGGTGCAGAGAAGCTGGGTGTTTTGTACGCTTGTGATATATCGCAATGGGCAAACGCCGCATTGGAGGGCGTGTACCATTTTCCCAGTGCAGTGGCGAAGGAGCATGAGTCCTCCGGGAAATGCTACTTTGTTCGTGCTTTGGAGCTCATCCAAGATCAAGTAGAGTGTTGCTAGGCAGGCACAAGGTCGCTGGAAAGGGCTCGAACCGGGGGGCGAACTCGTCTGTGGGGCAAAGGTGGCCGGCAGGGTGCTTCTGTCAAACCTATTAGAGGGATATAAACCAGAATAGGTCCAGATCCAGACACTACGTACTGTGCTGTATCCGACAAGCCGGTCAAGGTAAGGGCTTGGGATGAGTCTTTATCCCAGTCAACATTGGCGGGTGAACGGCCATGTTGGTTGGACGATTGCTGTGGGGAGTCTCCGGAAGGTAACCACGAGCCAATTTCGCAAGGCGGCAACAGTGAATGAGCTGATGGAAGCTCTGGCAGCTGAGGAACCGGTCCGAGTTCTCGTCGAATAGTGAGATCAATCCGACGCCTCTTAGGTCTTCCAATTGGCGAGGATGCGGCATAGATGCATTCTATGCCGGATCTCTGACACCGCATACATTTCGGTCGATTGCCACTGCACTTCTGTTTCTTCGACCCTAATGGAACCCATTATGTCAGCGTAACAGCAGCGGAATAAAACCAGGGATTTTCTCTTCAATTCCACAGGGATCATACTGCAATGTTCGCACGCGGCCCGTTGCGGACAGTTAGGCCGGGTTGTAGTGGTGGAAGGTCTCATTGTAAGCCGGAATCGGTCAGTGACGGCAATGGATGTCGGAAGGTTTTCAAGCAATACATGGAGAGGAGTGCCTGTCATTACGACTCGCCGAGGGAATGTCCTGTCTATATTTAATCATCTTTCCGTCGCGGAGACTTTTATCTGGCATTATTGGCCAATGGTTTGGGGAAGGAGCCAATAAAATACGAGAGAAGTTGCCGGTGTCGAGCTTCATGCACTCCACGCTCCACTTAGTGTCTCCCACTAGAGTCCAGACCTAGCCTCAAGAGAAGCTGGCCCTCACCTCGGCTTCGTGTTGATGCCGAAGGCGACGCGATGGGTGAAGTATATATAAAACTCGTAGTAAAATGGCAATTCAAGAATTCTTGTCATTCTCGGGCGTGACTATTTCGTAAGAACCCACACCTTGGCCAGTTGTCAAATATTTTCATCCCGCCGAATATGACTGGCAAAGAATTGGACCACGCGCAGGCTGCTGTGTGTTGCTCCTCTCCAACAATCCCCCAAGGTGAACCGAGGGATATGGCCAAAGAGAAGGACCTGGGTGTGGGCACCATTGAAGATGTGTCTTTTACACAAGCGAATATCATAGACCAGCCAGTGCCAGATGAAGGTCCTGATGCTCGCAGAAAATCAAAACTATCAAGGCTCCTCTCCCAGTTTTCCAGAGGAAGCAGCAAGGAATACGATCATGGCCCTCCTCCAGATGGAGGATTCCAGGCATGGGGAGTAGGTAAGATACACACTATTACATCCCTTCCCGGTTGGCATAGCCCTAACAATATTCCAGTTGTCGCTTCCCATCTAGTACTCATTAACACATGGGGGTTAATCATCTCCTTTGGGACATTCCAGACCTATTATACTGAAGCATTGAATCGCACACCCTCCGAAGTTGCCTGGATTGGCTCAATGCAAGTCTTCTTGCTTTTCTTCCTCGGCACTCTAACAGGCCGCCTTACAGATGCTGGTTATCTGCGCCATGTTATTGCCTTGGGCTCTGTCTTTCAAATACTTGGTATCTTCATGACATCCCTTGGAACCACCTACTGGCAGCTACTCCTTGCGCAGGGCGTGTGTATAGGTCTTGGGAATGGTTTCACATTTTGCCCGTCCATCGCAGTCCTGCCGACGTACTTTAGCAAGAGACGAGGTCTCGCCATTGGCATCGTGTTTACTGGTACCGGAGTAGGGGGTTTGGTATTTCCAGCCATCGTGAGAGAATTGCTCCCAAGGATGGGACTTTCGTGGACTGTGAGGGCTATTGGATTTATCGAATTCGCAAATCTTGTGGTAGTGAATCTGCTTCTTAAGACGAGGCTACCGCCGAGAAAAGGCGGTGCACTTGTTGACTGGCCTTCATTCCGAAATCCCGAATATGTACTCGTCCTCATTGGGGTAACTTTGGTAACTCCTCTCCCTTTATCTCCCCTCAAGCCATTGTTTCTAGGGCTAATTGTGATTGACAGTCATTTGCTGGAGTTTATGTGCCATTTTACTATGCGGCATCATTCAGTCGTGATATCTTAGGAATGAGCTATACGAATAGTTTGAATGTTCTGTTTGTTCTCAACGGAGTTGGCCTTCTTGGCCGTCTTGTTCCGACGTATTTGGCAGATCATCTCGGACCCATCAACGTATTCATCCCAACGGCTTTCATAGCTTGCGTGTCCGTCTTTGCCTGGATGGCAGTCGTCAACTCCGCGGGCGTTTACGCGTGGGCATCCGTGTTCGGTATTGCTGCTGGTGGCGTACAGGGCTTGTTTCCTAGCGCTGTGGGCAGTTTGACCAGGGACGAGGACCTGGATAAGATTGGGGTGAGACTTGGCATGGCATTTACGATCCTGAGCTTCGTCGTCCTTACAGGCCCACCAATTGCGGGGGCCCTCATTACGGCTAACGACGGCAAGTACTTTGGGGTCCAAGGGTTTACGGGTGCGTCTCTAGCGGTCGGAATAGGCTTCATGGTGGCAGCGAGGACTGTCAGAGTGAGACGGAATGGGTTGGACTGGAAAGTCAAGGTTTAAGAGGGCGGGGAATGCGTTGAAGTGCGAAGTGGATTAAATGTTCACAAA